CACCAGCCTGATCAAATTTTTGTGAAGAGATGATGAAGATACTTGAGGGAAGAGCTGTGGATATAGTTTATGTGGACTTTAGTAAGGCATTTGATAAAAGTCCCACATGGCAGATTGCTACAAAAACTAAAATCACATGGCATTTGGGGTGGGACGGCTAGCTAGATACAAAACTGGCTTGGTCATAAAAGACCGAGGGTAGCAGTGGAAGGGTGTTTTTCAGAATGGAGACTGGTGAACAATAACTAGTGGTGTTCCACAGGGATCAGTCTTAGGTCGTCTGTTGTCTGTAGCATATATAAATGATCTTGAGGAAAATGTGGATGGCCTGATTAGTAAATTTGCAGATGACATAAAGATTGGTGGAGTTGCTCATAGTGCTGACGATTATGAAAGGTTACAACAGGATATAGATTGGTAACTCAGGCACAGAAGTGGCAGATGGAGTTTAATCCAGACAAATGCGAGGTGATGCATTTTGGAGGATCAAATTTAAGTGTGAATTATACAGTTAATGGCAGAACCCTTAGGAACATTAACATACAGACAGATCTGGGTGTGCAGATCCACAGTTCCGTAAAAATGGTAACACGTGGCCAAAATGATTGAGAGGGTATATGGCATGCTTGCCTCATTAACTGGGGCGTGGAGTACAAGAGTTGGCAAATCATGTAGCAGCTACATAAAATCCTTGTTAGGCCTTTTGTGTGCAGTTTTGGTCACCACACTACCAGAAGAACGTAGAAGCTTTGGAGAGAATGCAGAGAAGATTCACCAGGATGTTGCCCGGTCTCGACAGCATTGGCTGTGAGGAAAGGTTAAAAAGACTAGGATTGTTTTCACTGGAAAGACGGCAGCTGAGAGGAGACCTGATATAGCTCTACAACGTTAAGAGGCATAGATAGGGTGGATAGTCAGAGGCTTTTTCCCAGAGTTGAAATTTCAATTACAGGGGGGCACAAGTTCAAGGTGAGAGGGCAAAAGTTTAAGGGAGATGTGCGAGGAAAGCTTTTCACGCAGAGAGTGGTAGGAGCCTAGAATGTACTGCCAGAGGTGGAAGTGGAAGCAGGCACATTGGTGACATTTTATGAGGCATCGGGATGGTTACATGAATAGGGAGGGAACAGAGGGATACGGGCCGAATAAGAGCAGAAGATTTGTTTGTTGTTAGTTTAGTCAGGGCATGGTGATAGACACAGGCTTGAAGGGCTGAATGGCCTGTTCCTGTGTCGTACTTCTCTTTTGTATCTTTGTGTTGTATGTTGCAAGTGGAGAGTATTCCATCACCCTCCTGATCTGTGCCTTAAGGACAAACTGGGCAGACATAAGCTGAATTACTCAGCACATAGTTCTTTATAGCCACAGTTGTTTTTGAATTTTGGAATAGAATAGCCTTTATTGCTCTAGAATGAGTCCAGTGAAAACGCTGTAATATTGCCCCTTGGTGCCATCTTAGGTACAGGGTACCTAGGTGCAGATGCCTCCAAGTCTTGTCACAGAATTGAAATAGTAAAAAATGATTAGCATGGGAATACAGAGTTTAATAGTCCAGACTGAGAATAAAAAAATGACTTGAATACATTAAAGTTACAGTCCTTTTCCACTGAGTCTGTGCCCACTGGGCTTCAAAACACAAGGCCTTACTGCCTCCATCTGCTGGCTTCTGTCTTGGACTCATCTCCAGGACCCACCCCCCGGCTGCCCTTGTTCATGGGGTGAGCACCCTTGACTCGAAGCATTTATTCCTCTTCCTTAATTGCCCAGGAAGCAGTTAGAATTCAACAACATTGGAGACAGGTGCAGGCCTGTCCAGGTAAGGACAACCAATTTCATTCCCTAAAGGATAATAAATGAAGATGGGTTTTTGTAACAGTTATTAATATTACATGGTCACTATTAGACTTAATTCCAGATTTTTAAGAATTCAAATTTATCCATCTCTGCAGATCCCTCACCATTTTGGCTACCCGTAACAAATTTTCTCACTTTCCAGAGAGGCTAGTGCAAACAAACACCCTTCACCCTCTGGTTTCTGCTGCTAAGCCAGTTTTGGATCTAATCTGCCAATTTCCTCTGAATCCCATGGGCTTTTACCTTCTTGATTGGTCTTGTCAAAAGCTTTACTTAAATCCATGTAGAACACATCAACTGGACTATCCTAATCCATATGGTTAGCCATGTCCTTGAAAAACAAGTGAACCTGTGAGATATGATCTCCCATGACAAAGCCATGCTGACAGCCCTTGATCCATGCCTCTTCCCCAGAGATTTAATCTCTTTCCTTCAGAATTTTTCTACTGCTGCTGTTCAATTCATTGGCCTTGGTTTCCTAATTATCTCTACACCCTTCTTGAATAATGGTAACATTGGCTGTCCTCCAGTCATCTGCCACCCCTCCTTTGACCAAAGAGAATTTGGAAATTAATGTCAGGATCCCTGCAATCTCCTCCCTTGTATCCCAGGTTGCTGTGGGAGACAGCTGGGCCTGAGGATTTATCCAATTTTAAGCCTTCTAATATCACAAATATCTTCTCCCTGATGATCCTCTTCCCAGATTTTCATATCTACATCATTCTTCTCCATAGTGATTACAGATATGAAGTACTCAGCTAAAACCTTTGCCTACATCTTCTGACTCCACCCACAGGTTGCTTGCGTCATTTAATGAGCCTGACTCCTTCCGTTTGTCCTCTTGCCCTGTTTATCCTAACATTACTCACAACATGCCTTTGGTGGGTAAAATAAAGGAAAACCTAGTTATTTTTTAAGAACAAAACCAGAAGTTGTTGGAAAAGCTCAGCAGGTCTGGCAGCGTCTGTGAAGAGAAAATCAGAGATAACATTTTGGGTCCAGTGACCCTTCCTCAGTTTACAGCATCTGCAGTTCTTTAGGTTTTTATTTAGTTTTTTTTTTCGTACTTTTGTTATCCTAATTTCTGTAAGTAATCCTTTCACTTTCTGTGCCACTGTAAAGTTTCTGGTGTCTGGAACTGGGTGTTGCTCTGGTTGAAGCTGGACCAGTATTTATGCCCTGGTTTACCAAAATTTGCTTTGGCATTCTATGACCTTTATCCACCAGCCTCTTCATATACACCTAGTCCATCTATGGCAGTGTGTGCGGATCCAGTATTGTTTAGTCCCTCAAGGCCCACAACAGAGTGGAAGAAAGTCAGAATCTTGAGGGACTGTTTAAGAGGTTGCTGCAGTTGAAGCTGAACCGGTGTCTTTGTACAGGTCTGTTCACTTGCTTTTCACTCTGGTCTGTTGCTAAATCCAGTATCCATTACAAATTGTGGCCAAATTGATAATCTAAATCATTTTTGGTTTGTGATAATATAAATCATTAGTTCAGGTTAAAAGAAGCAATAGTCAACTTGAGAGAAACTCAGGGGGTCTAATGGCATCTATGGAGAGAGAAACAGTTAATGTTTCATGTCTCCCAGTCGCGAACCACTTCAACTCCCCCTCCCACTCCTTGGATGACATGTCCATCCTAGGCCTCCTCCAGTGCCACAGTCATGCCACCCGAAGGCTGGATGAACAGCACCTCATATTCCACTTGGGAACCCTGCAGCCCAATGGTCTCAATGTGGACTTCACAAGCTTCAAAATCTCCCCACCTCCAACCTTATCCCAAGACCAGCCCAGCTCATCCCCACCTCGTTGACCTGTTTTTTCTCCATCTGTCCGCTCGTCCTACCTCACTGGCCAACTCTCACCTCCATTTTGTACCTACTTGCCTCATCCCTGCCTCCTTGACCTGTTTGTCATCCCTCCCACCTACCCACCCCTCCCTTCCCAATGACCAACCCCCAACCCAACTCCCTACCTACACTCACCCAGTACTGGCTCCATCCCCGCCTCCTTGACCTGTCCATCTTCTCTCCACCTATCTGCTCCTCTATCCTCCTTCCATCATCGCCTCCCCCTCTCTATTTATTTGTGTCCTCTTCCCCTCCCCCATTTCTGAAGTGCTGCTCGGCTTGCTGCGTTCATCCAGCTCTACACCTTGTTATGTCAGACTCCAGCATCGACAGTTCCTACTATCTCTGAATGTTTCATGTCTGATGACTCTTCAAAGCTTTCTTTTTCTGTCTGTACAGATGCTGTCGGACCCTGCTGGGTTTCTCTAGCGCTTTGCTCTCGTTATAGATTTCCAGCAGTTGCAGTATTTATCAATTTTTAAGTGGATTATTGTGCTGCTTTACATAAAACAGCGACATTAAAATACTCCATCTCCTACCGACCAACCTCATCCCGCCCCCTTGACCTGTCCGTCCTCCCTGGACTGACCTATCCCCTTCCTAACTCCCCACCTACACTCACCTTTACTGGCTCCATCCCCGCTTCTTCGACCTGTTTGTTTCCTCTCCTCTATCCATCTTCTATCCGCCTCCCACTCTCTCCCTATTTATTTCAAAACCCCCTTCCCCTCCCCCTCCCCCTTATCTGATGAAGGGTCTAGGCCCGAAACGTCAGCCTCTCTGCTCCTATGATGCTGCTTGACCTGCTGTGTTCATCCAGCACTACACCTTGTTGTCTCGGATTCTCCAGCATCTGCAGTTCCTACTATCTCTGATTCGACATTAAAATATATTGAGTAGGAAATGAGATCTGCTGAGGAGCAAGGTGACTTGAAATGTTAACTCTGCTTTCTCTCCATAGATACTGCTAGATTTCTCCAGTAACTTGTTTTTCAGAGCATCCACAGTCTTTATTATAAGGAAACTAAAACTGCACATAGTACTCCCAGGTGCAGTCTCACCCTGGCCCAACACAGCAACCGGCAGAAAACTGGGTTGTGGGATTAGATTACACAACACCATGGTCTCAGGTTATGCGCTGGCGGTCCGTGTTGCCTGCAACAAAGATGGCAGTGCCCCGTGCTATCACAGGCTGGCGGCGAGCTGCGCGTGCGTGACCGACAGCCCTTCGTTGCGCAAGCGCGGCAGAGGGGGCGGTGCGGCGGCTTGAGGTAGAGAGACCGGGAGCGCGCGGAGCGTTCACCGCACGTCCCCCCACCCCCTCCCTTCCCCACCATCACTACCCTCCCCGCCCCCAGGGGAGACAGAGACACAGAGAGAGAGAGAGAGAGCGTCTACCCACACGCCAGGCACATCAACAAGAGCGGCAGTCATGGAGGCCGCGGCCGCCCTCTTGGCCTGGTTGCTGTGCGCAGCGACTGTGAGGTGGAGCGGGGCCACACTGGAGGAGGTGGCCGGGGCAGGTGAGGGGGCCTTGTCGAGGTGTGGGGTGGGGGAGAGTCCGTATCGGAGCCACGGCCTTGGCTGCAGGCCGGGGCGGGGGGGAGAAAGAGTATACCCGGGGATTCGGGTGTACCGGGGGGAGGGATGGCCGGCAGTACCTGGCGATATGGCGCTGGGGATTGGGGTGGTTGGCAGGGGGAGTGTGTACCTGGGATTGTGGTGCCGGGTG